GGTCCGGGCTACATGCCCTCGTTCACTGCAATGTGCAATGTATATCTCAATAGCCCACAGGTCATTCTCTTGTTTCTTGGAAAGTGAAGGCAGGCTTGTCTGTCTGTCAAGCTGGTGAGCTCCCAGGGTTCCCCAGAGTGTAAGCTGAAAGAAAATCTCTTTGCTACACCCTTCCCCAGCCAACACTAACATAATGGAGAGCATGTAAACAGCTGGCTAGACTGATTGTTACAGAGGTTGAAGCAAAGCAAGAACAGCTTTCACTCTGACAATGGAATCTGCACTCAGTACGCAAATGTCCTGGCTTCCATTTCTGGGGCTTTTCTCACTTCAGGGTGTGCAGACTCCTAGGGCCCCTCAAGGCCAGATCATGGGGCTCTCGAGTCACTATGACAGGATTCTAATTCCACTGACTATAGGTGACCTTTGCTTCAAAGCAAAAGCTAAACTCCAGAGCTGGATTTTATTTCGGGAGTTCTCTGTTTGCCTTTCACCTCTCCCTCTGGACTCTCACAAATAGGCTTAATCCTAGCTCTCCCAAGGCTTGTGGTGAGCCAACTGAGCATTAGGGGTCTAAAATACTCTATGTCATTAATTATATATTACTGCCGTGCACTGTATTGAGGAAGATCATATTTTACAAAGCATCTCGATTTTAATGTAAAACACAATAGAAAACACATAAAGACACTGGGAGGCAAGGGGATGATGCCAGCTTCGGCCTTCGTGTTGTCAATAGTTTTTTATAATAAAAATTTTACACAAAAACAGTGATAGGAACTTTTAAATGTCGTGTTTTTCTTTCCTCCAGAACTAACTTGTCAATGTTGAGAAAGTGTCCAATTTTGTTCCAATATGAACTACAACAAAATTTATCAGCAGAGAAAGGATCTGACTCTGTCTTTTGCTTTAAATACAGAGGTCTAAATATCAAACGATGGCATTTCTTTTCCAACCTCTGGTTGTATTAGTAAATGATAAGAGCTGAATGCTACTCTCTTTGCTGTCAGTATCTTTATGTATATTTTCCTCAGTTCATTGAACATGAAAATATTTGTTGCTTAATTCTAAAGGTTTTGCAAACGTTTATGTAAAATATTATTAAATTTTGTTTGGTATTTAGTTATAGAAATCCTGAGTGCTGTTTATATAATAGAAAATAATCTATTATAAAAAATTTATTTCATTAACCAAATGTTTTCAAGGAGGTAGTTGTTACATATCATGGGGGGAAAAAATCCAGATGGCTAAAAACACATATCAATAATAAGATGTAGTGTTTATTATGAGGAAGAAAAATTTTCAACTATTAAATTTGTACCACCTAAATATATTGAATGTAAAACAATTAGTTTTATTTTGTAAGTGATTAAACAAATATTTCATAAGTCTCTACCAGACTCTGGCTGGATAGCTCAGTTGGTTAGAGCATCATCCCAATATGCCAAGGTTGTGGATTGGATCCCCCATCAGGACACATACAAGAATCAACCAATAAATGTATAAATAAGTGGAACAACAACTGTATATTCATACATTCAAATGGATGAGTTGAAAGACTAACTCCCCTAAGAATATATATGAGAAAGGGTATTTCATATTTCTAATTCCTCATTTATAAAATAAGAGTTATAGAGATGGTGGATAAATTTGCAAGTTAACTATAAAAAGTTGCTTATAAAATTTATAAAACCTTTTTGACAATTTATCATCATATGTCTTTTCTAATCATTTGAATTAATTGGAATGATAATAGCAGTAAAAATGTAGAAGCATCCATTTTCCTTATTGCTCATTGTAGAGAAAAACTTGCTGTATAATAGAGCCAAGAAAAAAAATATTGCAGTATTTATTTAATTTACTGGAAGCTTTCAATCATAATTATCAATAATTGGTAGAAATAATTTAATGCTTATTCCAGTTGATAATAGGTTACTCTGGATTAGGTTTTTGAAGTTTTATCTATTATCTTGGAAATAATGACAAGCTGATTATAGTCTTCTGCCTAATTTCTATTGAACTCATTATCATTTTAATCAATATTTATTCACTTATTTGGCAAATATTTATTGAGCTCATACTATGTGTCTGGCAGGGTTTTAGGTACCAAAAATATGGTAAGCCAAAAACAAATTACTGTCTCATACAGATTATAATCTGGTACTCATAGTTTGTTTAGTTTTTTGGTATGCTTATTTTATTTTTTTAAATTAACTGTATTGGGGAATTACAGTCAACCTTCTGTTCTCAAATTTATCCCATCTGGAACAATTTGGTTCTTGACAAAGTTGTTCATGAAAAAAAAAATGTCTTGGTTGTTAAACAAAACTTTGGTTTTTGACCCAACAACCCTTTCATGCTGATGCCTGTATGATCAGTCAGGTATCTCTCAGGGGACAAAGGAGAGAATATGGGAGTATGAGTCAGCTTACCACTAAACTTCGAATTGTTAACAGCTTAGAAAATTATGCTGTGAATAATTTCATGTTTTTAAAATATTTATTGACCCCTAACTCTGTATCAGGCAGTGTGCCAAATATTTTATGTATATTTTATCTACATGTCACCATTGTAAGATAAATGTTTTTACCTAATAGACCAGGAAGCTGAGACTTGGTGGAAGTTGAGTCTCTTCACCAAGATCTCATAATTGATCAGTGGCAGAAGTGAATACCCCATCGAATGTGTCTGAATCTAAATCTGAATTCCAAATGCACAAACAGCTTTGGTATGTTTTTCAATGTCTTTTCTAAGAGATCAAAGAGATATTCAACCCAAATAATAATCAATCTTTTATGTCAATTTGGCATCTGTATATATGAATTAAAAAGCACTTAAATAATCAAGGGATTTTATAATTTCAAATATAAAAGAAAATTGTCCATCATGCAAATGAGATCTCAAGTACTATTTAATAATATAACCAGAAAAATCTAATTTTCCAAAAATGTTTATGTAACCCATATATAAACTTGGTGTTCAATATCATTGAGGAAAAAAACAAAACCTAGCATATGTGTTGCATAATGAATAATATACATTTTTATAAAATGAATATACATAAGTCAGTGAACTTCATATATATAAGAAGTAACAAGTGAAATAAAAAAAGGAAATTTGCATAAAGTGACTTGGAATCTCCTTAACAAGAATTGTATAAGACCACCATGGTTAAATCCATGAATTGTGCTAAAAAACAAAACAATAGTAAAAATTGGAGATACCCATTAAGACTTGCCTGACAATATTTAATATCATAGGGTCAAATTCCTGAGTTTAATGAAGTGATTCAAGTCTATCACAAGTCAATAATTGAGAAATATAGTAAAGGTATTTTATAATTTAATCAGGAATTATAAAATGTGAGATTAGGCCAAAAATTATGGAAAAACATGACAAAGGTCATGTGCTAACAGATATTAAACTGCATTATCTCTAAAATTTTTTATAATTTCATAATGTTATATAAATTGAATCGTATATTATGTAACATTTTTGGATTGGCTTTTTTTTTTCTGTCAGTATATCTCCCTCAAAATTCAACCAGGTTGTATATCAATAATTCCTTCTTATTAGTGAGTAGCTTTATAAATAAAACTGCTATAAACATATGTTTATAGGTTTCTGGGATAAACACCCAAGTGTGCAATTGCTAGGTCATATGATAATTGCATGGTCTATAGAGTGGCCATACCTTTTTAAATTCCCACCAGCAATGAATGAGTGATCCAGTTTTTCTACATCCTCACCAGCATTTTGGAAATGGAGAACAAAATAGTGATTGACATAGGTTAGGTATAGGAGTGGGAGGGAGGTAGGTGGGTATGGGTATTAAAGGAAAACAGGAAAAATCTTAGTAGTGATGGAACTGTTCTGAATTTTGACAATGATGATGAATATATAAACCTATATATGTGATTAAGTTATATAAAACTAAATATACACAGATAAATATACTAATAAGAATAGGTAAAAGTATGGAAATCTGAATAAGATTCATGAATTATTATAAAAATTTCAATCTCCTAGTTGTGCTAATGGAATATATATATATATATATAGTTTTGCAAGATATAATTAGAGAAAAACAGCATAAAGAATACATGGGATCTTTCTGTATTATTTCTTACAACATGTGAATCTGTAATTATATCCAAAAGTTTTTAATTATAAGTATATTATGAAACTACATTTATTAAAGAAGTGTGGTACTATTGCGGAGTGGCTTTTGGACAACAAGGCACATACTGAGTCTGACTTGTATATGGTGAAAATTGTATTTGAAATAATTGAGGAAAAAATGGAATATTCAGTAAATCAAGCTACCCACTTGAGAAGAGCCAATCTGCAATGCAGATAATACATCTCAACATTATACATTATAAACTTATTACACAAAATAAGTTCCTTATGGATTTTTATTTATACATTAAAGAAGTAAAAAATAATTTGAACACTAAAATATGCAAAAATATTCAGGTGATGATTTAATTGTCTGTTATATAAAGAATACTAAATTTCAGAAAGTAAGTCCTCTCTAGAGGAAATTTAAATTTAGGTTTATAATCAAGGCTTTAACATTTTGATCTACCATTTCCCATATTTTCTACCCAATGTTACAAAGTTCTGGAGAGGAAATAAGTCAACAAAGTTTTGCCAGGAAAGCAATAAAAAAATCTGTTTCAACATATAATGAAAATAGTCCCCCCAAAGTCAGATATAATCTGTATGAGAAATAAGGTCATAAGAGAAAAAAATAAAATAAAAACACAACAACAACTGCAAAGTTAAGGGGGGAAAAAAGACATAAAAAAAGAAGGGTGAGTTTTACATGTCATTAAAATGTTTTGTCAATTTTATTAGTTCAAGGCAAAAAAAATTTGGTACCAAATTGATAAATTTGCCAGATAACTATATCACTACAGATCTATCCTACTAGTATGTCTTTAATTGAATGAAAGAATCTTGAATGAATGACTAATTCAACATTGATCATTGACACTGAAGCTTCAGAGATGATGCCAGTGCCATACCGTGTCACAGCTTGAGGCAAAAAGAAAAATCAGTAACACCGATCTACCATTATTTGAAATTGTGATATTTTATTCATTATGTATTTTTATCAGTTAATTTTTGCTTTTATAACTGTTGCACTCTATATTATTTATCTTGATAACTGAGATTTTTAGCACCTTCCTAAATTTTATGTCCAAGATGAGTTTCTCACTCATCTCAACCTACTCCTGGTCATAAAAAATAATTTCAGAAAATGTCCATTGCTAAAATTTTTGCTTTATGAGGTGTTATAGTTGTAAATCAAAATTCAATATATGATGAATGAGATTCCAAATCATATCCTACTTTATATTCAGTTAATTGTAGGAACCTTCATATATTGGATTATAGTGGTTTGAAAGCATTTGAGATATGAGATTTTCTTTTATTATGAAAAAGCAGAACATTCCTTCTCATGAATAACATAAGGGAATAAGGCCAATTAGCAGCTCGGGGTTATACATTTTCCTGTTTCCAGAGAATAGAGGTCATTGGTTGAAAATGAGGCATGGTGGAATTTTTAATTCTCTTGCACCCCGTCCCGGATACTGATGCCCTTGGGAGAAATAAGCTGGAAGTCTGCCAATCCAGTCAATTTTTCATTGTCTAAGAGGCATTGTGAAGAGAATCCATCAGCAATAGAGGAGACACAGGCCTCAAACAAATGAGGATAGCACTGTGTGAGAAAAGTCATGCACCGGTATAAAGATCCTTTCATAGCCCTTTAACTGGGTCTTTAAAAAAAAAAATTGCAATAGAGTTGTGAGTAGACATTATTTGTCTCCCTTGATAAAGTATTTGATTCTTCTTTGTGTCATCTACAGTGCTCTAATTGACCGGCAGGGTTTCAATAAATACTGGTTAATTGGGAATGATTTAATAAAGGAATTTCCCCAAATCTATCCTGAATTCAGAAAACATGTTTCAGAAAAACATTTTCAAATGAACGTAGGATTTAATACATTATAACTGGTCCAACATTACTGTATAATTAACTTAGTTCTTTAGGATTAGAAATTAATTCTTTATTAGCTGAAGATGTGTTAAGTCTATTTAAATCAGAGCTGATATCTATGAATTTTTACTGCGTGAAAAAGTCATTCTATTATACTCTAATGTGTTACATGTTCAAATACGCCAAGTTAGGTCTGTTCCTCTATTTTGATTTGAAAGAAAGAGAAAGAAAAATAGGATGAAACACATATTCCAGCAGAGGTTCATCATCCTAACAAAAGAAAATAAATACTGGAGAAAGCGAAGAGAAATAGAAAGAGAAAAGAATTAGTCAAATTTAGAAGTTACAGGACAAAGTTACTTAAAAGTATGAAAAATAGTATTACTTAATTATATCTATTTGGTGGGACTGTTTGAAAACTTGGGAGCAAGTTTCTGAACAGGAGAGGGGAAATGATCATTAATTCAATTATGAATAACAGGAAATTTTCAAAAAGCTTTTCATCAGTAAAATATTCCAATTACAGTCTTCAAATAAAGTTTGCCAAATATATAGCTGATGACTCCCACGCATTGTCAAACTCATTTTCAATCATTGGCAAAATTTTAATTCACACTATTTATTTTCATTTGTTTTGTAATTATCCTTTTTTCCACTTAGTTTCGCTTATTCAAAATTGTTTCCTTTACCACATTGTTTGTGCTTCCAAGTTCCTTTGCTAATTTCTTTTTCTACAGTTACAACCTAGTTAGCCACATTGGATTCTATCCTTTATTTATATTTTTACAACATAAATTTAATTCTAGTTTCTCCCACTGGGTCAAAAATATTCTCATTTTTCCTAAAGTATTATTTCCTGCATATTTAAGTTCCATTCCCTTAGGGCTCCTCTTGTTTTACTCAAATAAACTTTTCCCACATTCAAAAATTAACCAACTGTATTCTTTTAGCAAAGACGAGCAGTTGCATAGATCATTTTAAAATATCTGTTCCTAACTTGGTACTTTGTTCTAAATATTTGAATACTTTTTATTTAATTTATTAGGATACAAGCGAAATGTTTCACACTGATATCCACTAACATGAAAAATAAAACCATATAAATGTCTTGTGTTGGGTAGGTTATAAACCTTTCTGCTTTGGGTTACTTTATGATAACTCTTTCTACTTGTTATCTGCCTAGTACTGATATAATATTTAGAGAAAATTGTTAATTTTATTCATTTGCGCAATTTTTTTTGTTTGCTTTGGGTATTTACGAGAGAGAGAGAGAGAGAGAGAGAGAGAGAGAGAGAGAGAGAGAGAATTGAAACTGCCTCCTTATCTAGAAATACACAATACTATCTGTGAAAATAGAAAGTATGTGCTTTGCCTCTACTACCCAAAAAATTTCCAGAACAACTAGAAATTTAATCTTGACGTTTTATGTAAAGAAATTTGTGGGGTTTTTTTTTTAAGTTAACATGACAGATGCCTGAGCATTGTGCAGTGATTGAGTAACCTGCCCAACATATCTGGCCTTGGGTGCAGTGCTGATGCTGCACGTGCTACATTATGACCACGCGTGCTACCCTCCATGTGTGTGCACATGCTGGCGGGAACCTTTCAGTAAACCAGCGATACAATAATGCCATATTAAGTAGAGCTCTTTCTTAGAAGTTACTAAATGAGCAAAGTGCCCAAAAGTGGAAACTTCTACTAGTAAAAGTAAAACCACAGACCTTCTATTTCCCCAAGTCTCATTGTTTGTCATTTCTGGTCCTCAGGCTCCTTGTGTACAAAATGTGAGTGCTGGATTGGATCTCTAGAGTTAAACTTCACTTTGTGAAGTCTTAGGATTGAGTTCAGATGCCTTAGAAGAGGAGAGAGAGTCTCAGGAAGTAGGACCCAGGCCTTTCCTCCCTTAGATCAATTGGATGTTTCATCTGGATTATCCCCTATGGATAACGGGGCCCATATAAGATTTGTTTGAAAGAAGGCTTTGACAAGTTAACATATTTGAAAACCACCTAATGTGCTTTCCAGATTAAAAACCCCAATTTCTAAGGGTTAAATATAATATGTAAAATATAACAAATTATCTGTTTTTCATGACACCTTTTAGCTTTTATAAGGTTTCCACATTCACCACCGAACTTAAATATGGTGAAAGGGAAGATGGGATTCCTACTTTGCAGGTCAGAAACCAGAGGCTCAGGGGCATTGCATGGCCTGTGTTGACACGGGGACTGGAATCCAGACTCACCTTGCAGTGTCTGCTCAGCTCCACCATCTCTCCTGCTCTTGTGTCAGATCCAGTCAGACAGTTGTCATTACCAATTCTAATTTAGAAATGTTCCTCTAATAGAATAAGATAGACTGATATTCTTGTAGTTCACCTAAATTCAAGGTTCATAAATTGTTCATGTAGTTTTATAGGAATTACACAAACAAATGAGTTTATCCCAAACAAATGAGTTTTTGTCCAGTGTAACTACAATTAATGAATTCTCAGCCCCGATAAAAACTCTTACATTTTGTAAGACCTCTGGCAAGAGTAGGCATGGACTTTGAGAGTATTATGCTAAGTGAAATAAGACAGAGAAAGGCAAATGCCAATATGAATGCTCTTACTTATGGAAACTAAGCAAAACAAAACTAAAACCCAAAAAATAACTCACAGTTACAGAGAAAAAAAATTTGTGGTTGCCAGAGGTAAGGGTTGGGAGACAGGAGAAATGGGTGAAAGGGGTCAAAATGTAAAAATCAATCAAACACACAAACTTGGAGTATTAAAAAGACTAAAAATTAGTAAATAAGCTAAAACACAGCTTCTTCAGTATTGAGGACAAATTGTAAGCTCATCCATTGAAAGGGTTTACAATGCTGGTAGTTGCTTTTTTTAAAAATATCCTCATCTAAGGATATTTTTCCATTGATTTTTAGAAAGAGTGGAAGAGAGAGGGAAAGGCAGAGAAAAATATCAATGTAAGAGAAACACATCGATTGTTTGCCTTCTACATGAACCCCGATCGTCCAGGCCGGGAGAAGCCTGCAACCAAGGTATGTGCCACTGACCAGAATCGAACCCAATACTCTATCCACTGAGCCAAACCGGGTAGGGCTGTTAGTTGCTTTTGGATGCAAGGAAGTTCAAGTTGAATTTTTTGTTTCTCAAATATACAAAAAGAAGCCAAACTAAATTGTCCGAATAACCTTTTGATTAACTAATATTCAATTGAAATTTCTCTTTTCCTCCCAACTTAGAGGTGGCATAGTAAAAGTAGTGTAAAGGCATAAATCTAAACTATATATTCTGCCTGGTATTGGTAGAGTACAATTGATGCAGTTTTAGTTTAAGTTTTTGAGTAATTCTGATAATTAAATAAAAGCATTAAGTTTACACAAATCAGCTTCTGTAATATATAGATTCAATTGCTGTTCTAAAAAGGTTTTTTAACTACTAAAAAAAGTTAGTAATATTTCAGGTAGTCATTTATTAGATGTATATCCTTTCCAGATTTCTAAGGAGAAATAAAATGGTAGAGAATAACATTACAAGGAGAGATGTAACAGGCCTTTTATATCATTGGCATTGCTTTAATTATTATGCTATTGCTTTCTGGATATAAAATTTGCTTCTCAGATATATTGTAAACTCTTTGATATAGGACTCATTAACACTAAATTAACATTTTGTCAATTATTTATTCCTCCTTCTAGATGTAATTGTAGATGACACAAAAACTCTCAATGTGTGTTAACTATTACCATATTTTATTGAATCAAAGACATCATCAATTGTAAGGCACCCTTATCATTTATGTATTTCTAAGATAAAGAAGATGCTAATTAAATTATGATGTATCCAAAAATTTAAACTGTATTCTCAAGTTTTAAATGTCAAAATGTGGAAAAATGTACCTTGTAATGTCACATCTATTATATACTATCTCAGTGCCTGTATCCAAACAGAAGCACTGCTAGGAAAGTGATAAAAGAGGACAAATCAATTCCACAATGACACAGAAGCCATTCATAAATCTTATATGGTTAAATAGAAAATAAGTGGTTTACCTAGTAAGTACTAGTTCTTACAAATAGTGGTCACCATGTGGGAGCATTCTTGAACAAATTCTATTCGTTTCCCCCAGATTACCTCACAATTTATTTGGGACTTATGAACATATTGCTTAACATCAAAAGGGACTGTGTAAGGGAAAACAAGTTAGGCCACATTAGAGTCCTGTCAACTCACATCCTGAGTACCCTTCTTTAAGGGGTATGGTCAGTGTTCATTGGACATGTATCTGTCACAGTTTGCACACTGAGCATTGATATTTTTCTAAAAGACTACTTATTTAATGGCTACAAAGGTTGGAATCAATCTCTTATCCAGAAAGATTTGATCTATGTTTCATAAACCCATGATTCTCGAACTTGAAATATTATAATCTACACTAATAAAAGAGAAACATGCAAATTGTGTCACTCCACTATGCCCACCAGCCAATCAGAGCGACTATGCAAATTAACCCAACAAAGATGGCGGTTAATTTACAGTGCAGCAGAGAAGCCAAACCTCGCTGCGGCCGGAGGGGAAAAGCCTAGCCTCAAGGCTTGGTTTCTCCACTGTGGCCAGACCAAAGGCCTGGGTCCCGGGTGCCAGAGGAAAACCAGTTCCAGTAGCCAGGGGAAGGAAGGCCTATTATGCGAATCTTCGTACTACAGGCTTCTGGTATTGTAATAAAAAGAAATGTGATATATATGCAATATATATATACACACACACACACACATATATACATACATATATATATATATTTCAGCCCCTCTTGTTCTCAAGACACATTTTATGGCAACTATAATTGAAACAGATATAAGTTAGCATCAAAACCACTCACTACACAAAACAAACATTGCTGACTGTTGCCCACAGGCATTGAATGCCTGAAACCAATCTACAAAATAATCTTTCATTCACCTACACCTATTTTCTCTCACAATTGTGCTTAGCAAAAGTCAGTTGTGTTTGTTCCCTAAATTGATCATGCCATTTTTTTTCTTGTTATTATAATCATAAATTAAATATTATAAAAGCCTATATTACTTTGAAAGTGTGTGTGTGTGTGTGTGTGTGTGTGAGAGAGAGAGAGAGAGAGAGAGAGAGAGAGAGAGAGAGAGAGAAATATTAAATGACTTGGGAACATCTCATGTAAGATTCATTAAAAATTCTATCAGATTATGTAATGGTGGGAAAATCATAACAAAGAAAAAGTTATAACAATATAAAAGGAGTAAAGTCCTCAAAAGCAATAAATGTTTTGTTCAACTGGTCTCAAATAATGCTTTTTAAAAAAGCCTACTATATTGTCTAATATTTACTTTATGGATATTCAATTTTTAGCCAGTTCCACCACCACATCATTAATTTAAATGATGAATTAGCTATTTAGATCAGGGGTCCTCAAACTACGGCCCGCGGGCCACATGCAAATACAAATATTCTATTTGCTCCCATTTTGTTTTTTTACTTCAAAATAAGATATGTGCAGTGTGCATAGGAATTTGTTCATAGTTTTTTTTTTAAACTATAGTCCGGCCCTCCAACGGTCTGAGGGACAGTGAACTGGCCCCCTGTTTAAAAAGTTTGAAGACCCCTGATTTAGATGGTAACCAACCCAGAATTAAAGAATTTTTTCTTTGACCTGATTACATACTCAAATGGTCAAAAGATTTTTCATTTATGATTGTTTATTGTTATCATAAACCTTGTCATCATCAACCCAAGATTTACAGGTAATAATGTCAAAACTCAGAAAGAAAAAGAGAAAAATCTAGTTGAATACTTGGTCCATAAGTCTGAATGTAAAGCAGTTACCTTAGAATCAGGAAAATTGTCCTCAATCAAAGCAATACTTTTTGTTGACCCAATGTGAAAATATATTTAACCTTTAAAGAATGTGCTTTAAATTCTGCCTTAAAACTCTGTCATATTAATATGTCTTTACTGTCAAAGAGAGATGTTTATATTCTTGAAAATTAAAACCTAAAAAGCAGCCATTAAACTGGTATCTTCTGCCCAGCCAGCATGGCTCGGTGGTTGAGCGTTGACCTATGAACCAGGAGGTCACGGTTCAATTCCTGGTCAGGGCTCATGCCCAGGTTGCAGGCTTGATCCCCAATGTGGGGTGTGCAGGAGGCAGCCAATAGATCTTTCTCTCTCATCACTGATGGTTCTATCTCTCTATCCCTCTCCCTTCCTCTCTGAAATCAATATATATTAAAAAACAAAAAACTGACATCTTAAATTTACAAAGAATCAAATAATGTTCACGTGAGAACTATGTAGAAGAGTGCATACAAAGAATTCTGGGAGTACCAGTGAGAGACCTCAACTCTCCCTAAAGTGTCAGAAATAATTTTACAGAGCAGACATTTGAGTTGATTCTTAGGAAAGGAGTTTCAAGGTAGGGAATAGGAGAAAGCATGAGAAGAGTGGTGTGGAAGAGTGAAGATTACTGGAGGCTCAGAGAGGTAGGAGTGGGAGACATGAGAATCATCAGAAGCTCAGAGGGAAGTGCAGAAATGGTGACAGGAAACCTGGGGAGATGGAGATGGAGAGATAGGTTCCCAAAACAGTGGTCTTCACTATTTCTCCAGGTTCATCTTGGAGTAGTTTTCACCTTCTCAGCCTAGGTGTGAATGTGCAACCACCTAGTGACTATGTAAAAACATAGTCAGCTGAATGTTGAGAAAACAATGTTTATGTTGAGAGATAAAGGAAGAAAAAAAACTATCATCTCTTCATTTCTTATTCAGTGCAGGCATTGTTTATGGTTTTATATCTAATATCCATGAAATATATTTTATTAATTTATTTTAAAGATTCAGTTAACTGAATCTTAGAGATGTCATGTGACTTACTTTAAAATTCCATAGCCAATAAGTAGTATAACAGGCACTTATTCACAGACTATCTAACTTTAGAACCCACGATGAAAAGTCATTAGCCATCTTGGCCACCTCTCAGTGACCTTCAATGCACCAAGTACACAGTTGTAGCAGGTAAGGGCCCCATGATTACGGGCAAAATTCTATGTAGAGCTGCATGGAAGGAATAGACTGGGAGTAGGCAGGGCAAAGGGGGTAGCACAAACTTAATTGGCGCCCACATCAACATAGACCAGGTCATGGTTGGAGAGGCCAACAGAGGGGCCAAGAATAGGAAAAAGGAAGACTTAGATCCTTGTGGAGCTCATCCTCCTGCCAGAGATCTGACTGACATCCTGACTGACTAGAGAAGATGGACTTTACTGGACTCATTGATGGATTGGATACATTACCCATTCATGTTATACTAAAGACTCAGGTACACAAATGACTCCAGTTGCAGGTACTGCCCTTACCGCTCTACTTTGAATACTCTGAGTACTGTGGACGCAACCTAAACATATGGCTCATATCAGGTTCATCATCCCAGGCCGAACTGACCTTTCCTTACATAACAGCTCCAGGCACAGTGACTGCCATAGCAGCACCCCAGGAATTTTCTGCTCCCCCTCACCCCCATCAGCCTTGCCTTGATTGCAAGAGAAGAGGTCCAGGCTGATATCACTCATACCTCCCTCACTTCTACCCAGCCATCCACCTTCATATGCATAAACACTAAGGTATTTCCCCAAGGATCAACTCAGAATGTTCATATGTGATTGCTCATTTAGTCTAAGGAAAAAATAAATAAATGGGTTCAGATGTAAGTCATGCCTCTTAATTCATAAGTGATGATATACATTGACAGGGAGTTAGTAATCATATGTATGAATTATATCTACTTATGAACATTTATTTACTTAATCTTTCAAATTTATTCTTAGAATTTCTATAAAAAAAAACATTAACCACATGGCACTTTTAAAACATAATCCAGTGTATAAATGAATGTACAAGAATTGTGCATACTTTGAATGTGTCATATAGACAAACTTTTTTACAATGTTTTTTTTCTCTATTGATTAAGGTATTACATATGTGCTTTATTGCCCCATTTCCCCCCACCTCCCTACTCATGCCCTCACTCCCCTGGTGTCTGTGTCCATTGGTTAGACTTATATTCATGCATACAAGTCCTTTGGTTGATCTTTCCTCCTTCCCCCCACCCTCCCCTACCTTCCCTCTGAGGTTTGATGGTCTGATCAATGCCTGTTTCTGGAACTGTTTTTGTTCATTAGTTTATGTTGTTCATTATATTCTATAAATGAGTGAGATGATGTGATATTTATCTTTCTCTGACTGGCTTATTTTGCTTAGCATAATGCTCTCCAGTTCCATCCATGCTGTTGCAAATGGTAAGAATTCCTTCTTTTTTACTGCAGCATAGTATTCCATTGTGTAGATGTACCACAGTTGTCTAATCCACTCAACTGCTGATGGGCACTTAGGCTGTTTCCAATTCTTAGCTATGGTAAATTGTGCCACTATGAACATAGGGGTACATATATCCTTTTTGATAGGTGTTTCTAGTTTCTTGGGACATATTCCTATAAGTGGAATCACTGGGTCAAATGGGAGTTCCATTTTTAGTTTTTTGAGGAAACTCCATACTGTTCTCCACAATGGCTGCACCAGTATGCATTCCTACCAGTAGTGCACGAGGTTTCCTTTTTCTCCGCATCCTTGCCAGCACTTGTCATTTGTTGATTTGTTGATGATAGCCATTCTGACAGGTGTGAGATGATACCGCATTGTCGTTTTGATTTGCATCTCTCAGATGATTAGTGACTTTGAGCATATTTTCATAT